GGCCCTGCCTGGCCGCACGAAGCAGGCACGGGCGCTTGGGGCGCCGCCGCCCGGGAGGCGGGAGCGGGAACCGGGCGGTTCGTCCGCGGGGTGGGGGAAGGACCTGGAGCCCTGCGTCGGGCAGAGCGACCTCGGGCCCCGGGGGGACGACGCACCGGCTTCGAGGGGCACATCACGTCCGGGAGGCGGAGGGCGTCGCATTGAGGGTCTCCCGCGGCTCGAGGCGGGGAGGAGCCGGGCGGGGGCGTCTTCGGGGAAACGCCGGGAGCCGCGCGCCGGCGGGAGGGGGCGGCGGCCCCTGCACAGAGGCTCCTCCCACGGTGACCACACTGGCTGCTTTCGTTTCCTCTCGTGACAGGTGCTGGGTTGGTCTGTCCTGTCACAGCGAGGTATGAATCGCCCTCGCGAGATTTGTCTCCAGGCAGAGCAAGGCCGAGGGTTGGCGTTCGGGGCTTCTCAAGAACCAGTGCCCTAAGGACTTACGTTGTGCATGAGGTCCGGAAGAGCAGGGTTCCTGGGGCCGACTGCTCCCCCTTCCCGGAGCTCATCGCCCAGGCTGTGACCTTGGCCTGGCAAGGCTTAGATCTTAGTTTTCTAATCTGTTTCCAGGGGTATGACTGGGAAGCAGTTTTGAGGATGAGGTGTTTGGCCCAAAGTAAGTCCACTGATTGTTGCTGCTGCTGAAGTCAATAGTAGAGCTGATGTCCAAGGACTCCATAGTCTCAGGCATTTACTGTAAGCCTCTTGTTAGCTTGGATGCCCATTCTACTGCGGACTCTATCCACCTGAGCAGTTCCTGGCCTGGGGCCTACCGAATCCCATGGGTTTGAGAGTTGGTCTCTCACTGCGGTTCTCTCTAGGGGAAAAGAGGACGTTTAGACAGGTGGCAAGGACCTTGGTGGGTGAGGTTTGCTTTTTGTCTTTCTGTGAATCTGCAGGGACCTCCGTGCTTGGCAGTACTCCTGGACGGGAGTAGTTAAGACCTGAGGGTCAGGCCTGTCTGGACTCAAGGTTCCCTGGGTTCCAGCCCTTTTTATCTTTGCTGGTATTTATTAAGCTGCATCAGTGCTTCCACTTCCTGTCCAAGGACCACCCGCAAGAGCTGGAGGAGGGTGGGAAGGCAGATTGTGATGTGGCTTCCAGCCCCCTAGGAGTGTCCTACCTCCTCTAGTGCTTGTATGTGTGTGGGGGAAGGGCCTGAGCTCTATTCTGCTTTTGAGGAAGAGAAGGTCTCTTGATAAACAGCTTTGTAATTTGGGAGGCCTCAAGTACAGGTGTGTGGGGGGAGGTCCTGCAGAGCAGTAGCCGTCAAAAGCACATCCGGGCAAGCGGGTCACGTCTGATACTGTGCTATTTATGTACCGTTTGATGGCTACATTTCCCTAAAGAGGCCCCATGCTTCTGGAGGGAGGGAAGTGGGGGGTGGTCTTGTCCCTGTTCCCACTTAGCCCAATGCTAGGCACTTAGCACTTGCTCTTTGGTGCCACGGTCCTCCACTGAGTGTCAGCGCTGTGCCAAGTGTCATGCCGGGCTTGCTAACTACCAGTGATGGAGGAGGCTATGGCCGGGTGGTGGCCTGGGGTCTGTCCTCCCCGCTGAAGGGCCCTTCCCTGCAGGTGGCTTCTTGCCTGGCCCAGCGCCATGCACACGCTTGTGTTCCTGAGCACACGGCAGGTGCTCCAGTGCCAGCCAGCTGCCTGCCAGGCCCTGCCCCTGCTGCCTCGAGAGCTCTTCCCCCTGCTGTTCAAGGTGGCCTTCATGGACAAGAAGACTGTTGTGCTTCGAGAGCTGGTGCACACGTGGCCCTTCCCACTGCTCAGCTTCCAGCAGCTGTTGCAGGAATGTGCCCACTGCAGCCGGGCCTTGCTGCAAGAGCGCCCCAGCACAGAGAGCATGCAGGCTGTGATCCTGGGGCTGACGGCCCGGCTCCACACCCCAGAGACAGAGGCTGGCACACAGCCTCTCTGCAGGTATGGGCTCACCTGAGGGCCCCGAGGGCCCGGGGTGGGGGGGGGGTGGTGCAGAGAGTGTCCCCTGTGAGGTTCCAGGCGACTGCAAGGGCTCAGTGCAGGAACAGGCGTGTTGCTCCTGTCCCAAGATGGCTGGGAGTGGGTGTGGGCTCTGCTCCCTTGTCTCCTGCTTCAGCCTACCCGTGCTCCCAGGAAGCATGCCCTGCGAGTGCTGGATATGACAGGCCTCCTGGACGATGGCGTGGAGCAGGACCCTGGCACCATGAGCATGTGGGACTGCACAGCAGCGGTGGCCCGCACCTGCATAGCACAGCAGCAGGGTGGGACTGCGGAGCCTGGGCTGGCCCCCATTCCTGTGGAGGTTCGTGTGGACCTGCGGGTGAACCGGGCCTCGTATGCGTTCCTGCGGGAGGCACTGCGAAGCAGCGTAGGCAGTCCCCTGCGGCTCTGCTGCCGGGACCTGCGGGCTGAGGACCTGCCCATGCGCAACACTGTGGCTTTGCTGCAGCTGCTGGATGCGGGCTGCTTGCGCCGTGTGGACCTGCGCTTTAACAACTTGGGTCTACGTGGCCTGTCTGTTATCATCCCACATGTGGCCCGCTTCCAGCACCTGGCCAGCCTGCGGCTGCACTATGTGCACGGGGACTCCAGGCAGCCTTCTGTGGATGGTGAGGACAACTTTCGTTACTTCCTGGCCCAGATGGGCCGCTTCACTTGTCTGCGGGAGCTCAGCATGGGCTCCTCTCTCCTCTCGGGACGGTTGGACCAGCTGCTCAGGTGAGCAAGCCCCGCTACTGCCCTGCCCTTCCTCCTCTCCCGAGACCCTCCCCTGGTCCGGCCTGTTTGTGACCTCCTGTGTCCCCTATAGCACCCTGCAGAGCCCCCTGGAGAGCCTGGAGCTGGCCTTCTGTGCCCTGCTGCCCGAGGATCTGCGCTTTCTGGCACGGAGCCCCCATGCTGTCCATCTCAAGAAGTTGGACCTTAGTGGCAATGACCTGTCCGGCAGCCAACTAGAGCCTTTCCAGGGTCTGCTGCGGGCGGCTGCGGCCACACTGCTGCACCTGGAGCTGACTGAGTGCCAGCTTGCCGATACCCAGCTGCTGGCCACGCTCCCTGTGCTGACGCGCTGCACCAGCCTCCGCTACCTCGGCCTCTATGGCAACCCGCTGTCCATGGCGGGCCTCAAGGAGCTCCTCCGGGATTCAGTGGTGCAGGCTGAGCTACGCACAGTAGTGCACCCCTTCCCTGTGGACTGTTACGAAGGCCTGCCCTGGCCACCGCCTGCTTCTGTTCTGCTGGAGGCTTCCATCAACGAGGAGAAGTTTGCTCGTGTGGAGGCCGAGCTGCACCAGCTGCTCCTGGCCTCAGGCCGTGCTCATGTGCTGTGGACCACAGACATTTATGGGCGCCTGGCTGCAGACTACTTCAGCCTATGACCTCCGGGCTGTCCTGGTGTTCAGGGCTGATGGAGATCCCTCCCTGCCTTAGGTAGACAGAGCCTTCACGGGGCCCTGTTGGAGGCCTGACACAGATGCACTGGTCTCGGGTTTCCTTGCTCCTGGGCATTTTGAGCCTTCCTATGCTTTGTGCAGCACCATGTGCAGTTTGCCCTGTACCCATTCCCCTGACTGGCTTGGGCTTCAGGGCTGGATTCCAGGCCTGCACGGCCAGGTTTGGTTTGGGTGCACTTGGCTACCCTCTGGTGTTGTGGTCCTTTCTTTGGAATGTTTCTGGGGTCCCAGCTGTGAGCTGAGAGAGGGTGTTCTCTCTAGGCCCTTCCCAAGAGCAGACTGCCCTGGGGTTGAAGTTGGAACAGGGACCTGCTTCAAGGAGAGCTGGGTCTCCCTACCCTGGCACCCAGGAGACCACCTGGCTGGGCTTTGGAGCCAGAAGGTGTCACTAAGGTACAAACGTGCAGTGTGTTTGGAACTTAAATTTGTGGTGGTTTTTTCTGTCCTAACTGGTCAGAATGACTTGTCTCTGGCTCTGCTGTCACCCCCAACCCTGGCCGCTGGGTAACTAACAGCTGTTTTCCAGTCCGCTGCCCGCCTCCCCTTCCCCGGGCGTCCCACCCGCCTCACAGCCAGTCTGGGCGCCTCCACAGCCCGTCGCCCCTCCCACCTCGGGGACGCCCCAGGTCCTCCAGCAGGCTGGCGAGCCGGTGTCAGCCCCTGCAGAGCTAGAGGTGACGGTGGTCCTGGGAGGGGTCTTTCCTGGAGGGCCTCAGGAGGGGTGTGGGGAGCCTCCTTGGCCACCGTCCGTTCGCACGTTAGGACTTCCGCCTGCAGAGCTGGGGGTCCGCAGGTGCCTGCGCCGCGCCCTCGGGGCCCCAGACCCCACACACGGCTCGCCGCACACTGCGCAGCTTCTAGCCTTTACTGACTGCGCTGGAGCATGCGCGGGCGAGCCCGCGGGCCGGCCAGTCCGCGAGGCGGACGTCATCCGCACGCGCCCGCCCCTCCCTCCAGGCCCCGCTCAGCAGTGAATTTCATAGGCTGCGGGCGGCTGCAGCGGGAGGCCCTGCCCCGGCCCGGTAGCCGCGCCGTCGGCCGCCTCCGTCGGGCCCTCCGCGAAGAGCGGCTTGGAGCGGTCGATGACGAACATCTCGTGGCCTCGCTCGTCGCGGAGCTCCTCGAGCTGCGCGAAGGTGCAGGGCCCATCCGAGTAGTCGTTGACGAACAGCGCGCCCTCCCCCGGCGGCCCCGGCGCCTTTTTCCGCTTGCGCCGCCGGCGGCAGATCATGGTCGCCAGCAGCAGCGCCGTGAGCGCGAGGAGCGCGATGGCGGCTGCGATGGCCGTCTGCGTGGCCAGGCCCAGGGCGCGGAAGGCCATGCTGCCCGCCTCCTGCAGGGGCTCGTGGCTGGCGGGGCCGGCGTGCGGGGGCGGCGAGGGCGCCAGCTGCAGCTGCTGCTGCCGGGACAGGTTGACCAGGAGCTGGAAGGGCACGCGGGCGGCGCCGCCGGCGTTGGAGGCCTCGCACTCGTACTTGCCCGCGTGGGCCAGGGTGATGTTGGTGAGGAAGAGCATGCCGCTGCCCGTGTCAGAGGCGCCGGGCCCGCCTGGGCGCGGCGCCCCGCGGTCTGGCTGGACCTGAGCCCGTGGCTGCCCTTCGCGAGGCTGGGCCACCTTTCTCCAGGTCACCAGGGGCTGCGGGTAGCCGGAAGCTTGGCAGGCAACCCGCAGGTCGTCCCCTAAGTTGGCTGTCACCTCCAGCGGCTCCACGTGTACAGAGGGCGGGATGCAGATGAGGCTACTGCCAGATACGTCCAGGAGACTTTGAAGTGCCAGGCGCGGGGGCTCTGCACACATTATCTTCCTGTCCCTGGAGCTGAGCAGCCGCTGGCCGCCCTCCTTGATCCATGCTCCCAGCCAATGCAGGGCACAGTCACAGCGCCATGGGTTCTCTGTGGGCAGAGCAGTGGTGGGCTGGTAGCTCAGGGGTGGTTGGCCAGAACAGGAGCCCCCTTCCTACCTCCCCCAGGGCGCCCCTGCAGCCTCTTCTCTGACCCCAAGCTCCTTGGAGTGTGGGCAGGCTCTTCTCTGACCCCTTCAGTTCTGTGATGCATGTTCCAGGTTCCTAATTTCTAAGAAAGCCTCTACTCCTCTGAAGTCTCTGCAACAAGTCCCATTATTTTTGGGGAACCTTGGTGTGCACATAGACATCCTACAGCACTGAGACCTTGCAGGTCCTGTCAGCCTTGTCTTCAGGTGCTATGTCCCGGAATGCCAGACCTAGTTTCATCCTTCCAGTTTCTGCCTGCTTGCCCTGATAGCCCCTAAGTGTGCAAGTGCAAGCCCCTCAACTCTTTCAAAGGATCTCTACCTTTTCTGTCTTCATTAGGCAAGTTCCCTGAGCTGTGTCCCTTCCAGCACCCCCATTCCTATCAGACTTCTACCATGGGTGCAGGTGGCGGCATGACCCTCCAGAGTGCTCCTGGATGGTCTGCAATTCAGAGCCACTGAAATCAAAGTCCACTCCACACCTGCGCCTGTTTCCTACTGCCACCCCTGTGGCCAGGGAATAAACCTTTGCATGAGATCCCTTCCCCCGGGGAAGGAGGTACCTGTGAGGCGCAGGACCTGCAGGCTGGCCAGGGGCTGTAGGGCCTCACGGCTGATGGTGCCCAGTTGATTCCTGCTGAGGTCCAGCAGTGCCAATGAGGAGAGCCCGGCCAGGGCCTGGTCCTCCAGCAGCTCAATGCTGTTTTCCTGCAGGTGCAGCTCCTGCAGTCGCTGAAGGAAGGACAGCAGATCATCAGGGAAAGGGGCCCTGGGACACAGGATCCCTTTCTAGCAGGCTAGACTGGGTTGACTTTTCTCCCTTTCACTACCCCTTGCCCTTGCCCACCTAACCCCCTCACCGGTAGGTGCAGGAAGGTGAAATCCAGCAGCTGCACCAGCTGGTTACCCGCCAGGTAGAGTGCACGGAGCTGGGCCAGGCCGGCGAAAGCGCCAACTCGCAAGCCGCGTAGCCGGTTGCCGGTGAGCGCTAGCTCCAGCAGGCGCGACTGCGCGCGGAAGGCGCCTGGCTCCAGGGCGCGCAGGCTGTTATTGTGCACGTAGAGCCGGCGCAGGGCTGCGAGAGGAGCCAATACGCCCGGTTCCAGGCGCGCGATGCTGTTGTCCTGCAGGAACAGCGTCTGCGGGCCGGACGGAGGGAGGGAAGGAGGGGATTCGCGCCGCTGAGGGAGTCTCCCTCTTCCCTGGGGCGCTCCAGCACCCACAGGGACGCTCACACAGCCCTCCCTCCGTGTCGCGGGCGCCTCTGCTCCGCGGCCCAGCGGCCCCACGCGGTGCCCACCTGCGTCCCAGGTGGAATTCCGGGCGGGACGACGCGCAGCCGCAGGGCGCCGCACTCCACCGTGACGCTGTAGCAGCGGCAAGCGGCCGGGCAGCCGGCGGCGCGGGCCGGGAAGTCGGGGAACCACAGCAGCCACAGCAGCAGCAGTGTGGGCGCGCCCGGGGCCATCTCCCGCGGGACTGGCCGCGGGCCACGAAGCTGCAGCCTCCTGACGGGCTTCCTTATAGTCCACCCGGATGTGATGTGCCTCCTGAAACACAGGTTGGCAGGCCTGCCCCTAACACTTGAGAGCCAGAGAAGGACATGATGGAGGCCCACACCTTGTGTCTACTTTCTGAAAAGTTATAAATCAGTGCAAGCAACTGATTAAAAAAAAAAAAAGTTGGTTTCCCTCCTTTATAAAAACAGTCATGAAGATCTGGGGCATCAGGTTTCAGTTTGGAATTTCCACTGTTCTTAGTCTTACTACACAGGCCATGTGGGGAGAGTCAACCCTGCCCGAGCTCTCTTCTCTTCCCATCTATCTCCGTCTGGCACTGTAAGGGGCTTCCTGCTCCTGCGTGTGGACGTCTGCATCCGGCTTCCCTCTACATTCTAGCAACTGGCCACTCCTTGAATCTAAGGTGCAAGAAGCTAGTGCAAGGTGAGGTGGTGAAGCCCAGCACCCAAGCACAGGCTAGAAGGGGAAGAACAGGCTCTGGGAAGACATCTCCCCTCGTCCACATGGACTCCTCTCTGTGAGACCTCCAAAAGCCGAGTCCATAACAGAAGTCTTGTGCCCCCAACACAAGGCCCAAGGCCCCACACTGCCAGTGTCCTTGTCTTCACCCGACCCTGACCCAGCATTGTCTAGTCCTTTTCTCCCTAGAATTCATGCTGTGTTCCCCGACCCTGGGATCCACCTGATGTATCTTGATGGGTCACAGGGGCAGAACTGATCTGGGAGCCACCAGCCACAGGAAAATGCAAACACAGCCTTATCCAGCCCCTGCCCCTGCCCTCCTGGGGGTGAGAGTGGGTGGAACAGCTTGCAGAGAATTAGGGGTATTTCTCAGGGAACTTGTTAGAGAATTAGGGGATGTAGCACACAATACGAAATGACCTATGTTCTCCCTGCTGGCTCCCAGCAAGTTGCTTCTGTTTTTTTGGCTCTGGAACAGCTGGGTTGTAAAAGAGGGGCCTTGGGCCACCAACTGGGTTTCTAGGGCAGTTTCCCAAGTGGGCTGTGGGAGCAATGACCTCCTAAACTGTGAAGGAATATATAGTGTGTTTGGGATGTATGCAGATGCATAAATCTGTGATCCTAGAGAGATGGGGAGGCCTGGGACTAGTTCCAGGCACAGTAAGTCCAGTTTTAAAGGTGGGGACTTGGGCCAAGAAGCCAGCTAGTCTGGAACTAGGGATAGCAAAGCTGGGGGTGTGCTGTTATCCAGCCTCCAGCCCTTCCTCAAAGGGTCCCGCTCTGAACACCTGCCTGTTTACCAAGTCTCCCTGCTAGCAAGAGGGAGTCATGTGGAAAGGGACCAAGTGGCCTTGGTGTCTGTTCAAATCTTCCTCTAACTTGTAACTCACATGATTATTTAAAGTCACTAGAAATGAGGTAGGCACAGCAAAAGTTTTAATGGAATATAGCTTTGGCCCAGGCAGAGGCAGTTCCCAGGTGTCTCCGGATATGTGTGAACGCCAAGGACCTGAAGGCATACTCTGGGCTCCTGGGATCCATTTCCCTGAGCCAAAGCGCTGGCCCAGGGCTTGCCCACCCAGCCTCCAGCGGCAAGTCCTCAAGTAGAGGAGCTTCTTGGCTTCCTCCTTAGGATTCAAGGCATTGCGGTTCACAGGGACACCCCCTAGACACTGACTGGAATAAAAGGGCCGGCCTGAGCAGGGATGAGGGCCCAGGCGGGAAGAGCAGAGGAGGCCTGCCCAGAAAGCCTTTTACCCAGCGGACAGCCCTCTAATCCGGTTGGGCAGGGGGCGGGGCGTCACACACAGGATTCTGCGTTGGCTGTCACCGTCTCCAGGGCGCCCATCTGTGCGGGGACTGGAGGGGCGAGGAAGCCCTGCGACCCCCTCGGGCTCAGGGCGAAGCCAGAGCCGCATGCCTCGATTACCCCCACGATGCCACCTGCACCCCCTCCAGCGCGGGTCTGTCCTGGGCCAGTTCAGGGCAGGGCGTGGTCCCTGCCAGGTCTCCTCCCCTTCTCGGTCCGCGTGGGGTACAGAGCCGGAACGGCCCCCGATCCCGCCCCCATGCCCGCTGACCTCGGGTCGGGCGCCCCCTC